TAGATAGGTCTGCTATACTAATAGAGACACGGCTTTTAGACTGGTCTTTCAAAAGCTGTCTTCGAACCTGTATAGCTGTAGGTATAGAGACTCGTCCAAAGCTTTTTTTTCACTATTTGATCCAATAGGATTTTTATTATACCATTATTATAAATACAGGAAGAATAAGTTTTCGGGTGGAAGAAAAATTAGATAGGGGTTTGCCAAAGTAATTTCTAATCATTTGAAAAATGAAAAAAATTAAACTTACAGAGACCCAAGATCTCAAACGTGAATCTGAATTATCACAGCGGGATAACATTTGTCTCACATGAAAATTAATGAGAGGCTGAACAATAAAAATTTTATAAAATGATTCTGATTTGGTAACTTAAATTGTATTTTTAAACTTCTACAAAAGGTAATTGAAGTTAGTTGTCATCATTTGTCATCTGTAAATACGTAAAGTAGTCAGAAAATAGTGATAATAATTATTATTAATATGGCAGCTAGTAACACCCAATACATTTGGTGGTTGGAGAAAAAGATTAGGGTCTATTTAAGTGATACTTTTTGAGTTCTCTCATGCAATAAAATTTATTTTGCAAAAGTAAAACTCGAAAATTCGTTTTAAAATTACTCTCCACTTTTTGTGTGTCTTCTTTAACTATTTTAAGATAAACTTGGGATTCTTTATCGTGGGTGTTTTGGTCAAGTGTCTCTAAACTTAAGACCAGGAATTCGGATCCACTCTAGCAGATTAAATTATCCAGAACTTGGCTTGGAATTTGACTTGCCTTGGTGCAATCAGCTCTGTTTTGTTGTCCAGGAAATGGTGGTGGATGGAAAGTTTCAAATAATTAATAATTTATACGTTCAATTAGACTAATTCCTCATGTAATTGACTTCTGAATCAGAAATAAGTTACCTGAAAACTCTGAAATACATTCGATGCTCTCTCAAATAAAATTATTGTTAATGCACAAATAGAAGGATAATGGTATAGGGTAGCAACTAACTTACTAGTTCTATTTTTTCAATAAAGCAAAATGCATTTTTTTACAATATTGTTGAGAGTATTTTGAATAAAGCCTATTAATTCTTTGATTATGCAAAGTGTAAAATCAACAAACATGTGTGGAAATGCATCCCTTTACTCTCGTTAAACATGCTGTAGGGTTTATTAGCAATCAGGTTCCTGTATAGAGGTTAGTGAACAGAAATTTCCTGTGCTCGCTTTTAAAATATTGTGAGCAGAATTATATCATATAAACCAAGATATATGATCAGAATTCATCAGCATGATTAGAGAAGTCAATACGTGTTTGTAATTTGTAATACTGTCTATATAGTTATTATACAAGCGAATACGATAATAATTTATCCATGGTTGGAAAAAGCAATAAAAAGTATTTATACTTAATTTTCACTAATTTATTCACAGTAACATGTTTCGCTACACTGTAGCTTCATCAGACTACTTAAAACTATATGGTGGGTCACTATTTATGGGTACAGGCCAACTGGGCACCAAACTCTTGAGGTCATAAACGTAGACCGGCCAACTCGACACCATCAAACGAAGGTAGTTTTCAAAGAGCCCCTAAGAGATAGGCCAACTGAGCACTCTATTGTCTAGAGGATAGGTCAACTGAGCGCTCTATTGCTTAGGGGATTAATTTTGGCATAGGTATTTTATGCCGCAAAATTGACAATTACATCTCAGAAAATTCAGCATTTCCTCCTTTGATGAGGCTTCAAAGAGCAGTAATCTATTTTCAACAACTAACCCCTGCGAGTCACTTCATTCTCATTTCTCAAAGTAAATTTACGTTGCGCATCCTAAGAGAGACCACCCTTATTGAACATCAATGCTTGATTTATGTAAAAATTCAAAGTATTAATACCGTTATTATTGTTAAAACTAAGAAAGTTAAACAAGCAGAATGTTTGTTAAATCAAAAAATCCTGGCACTCGATCATAATGAATTAACGGAGTACGATTTTGTTAAATTAGTTTCACTAGATACAAAATATAGGAAAACTTTTTAACGAATATTACCGCTTTTTTTGTTTGTACAAGAATAACAAGGTACCTAGTGTGATATCATAGACTTTGTGATAGTAGGTAAATAGTGTGCAATCATTAAAATTAGTAAATTAGATAATTATAAAGTAAAGTAGTACTTGATTATATTTGAAAAATTTTTCATTTAAAATAAAGCTTTTTTAGATTAATTATTATGTGAGTTTTATCACCCAAACGTTTTCTAGAAACCTTCAGTTGGCGAGTTCAATAAAGTGGTGAGTTGGCCCAGGTAAAGTGTCGAATTGGCCGGTCTCTATTTAGTCCTGGTGTCCAGTTGGCCGGTCGGTCAAGGGCTTAAATTTTACCTAGGTACAATAAAGTGCCGAGTTGGCGTCCGTCCCTATTTATATGTTATCTTAACTTACAGGTACCTACACAATTATACAAACTTACTTAGAAATTATTAATTTACAAATTACAATGGTCTATTGTTGGAGGGTACAAGGGTAATAAAATGTCCGTGAATATTTAATAGTTGAAAATATTAGGTAAAGGAGAATTATTTAAATCTAGTTGATCATTGAGTAAAAAATCTGAGTTTTTAAGTTTATTAATTTCCAATGATTCCAGGTAGTTGAGTTTGAAGCCTTTATTTTCTGTATGCAAAATTTTTATGTTATCATTAAATGTATGGTTGGTTTCAATTGATTGGAATAATTCGAATCAGTTTTGCGTTTTATGTAAGAATTATGATGTTCTGAAATTCTCGTTTTAAAACATCTTCCTGTCTGACCTATACAGTGTCATTACTTAAGTGTGCAACATATGGGATTTTTTTTTAGTAATAGCACAATCAAAATACAAACAAGGCCAAAAGTTGGTGCATGTCTGATAATCATATTAGGTGCACTTAGAATGTTTGCAAGTCAAACAGCATACAGGGTGGCTCAAAAAATATCAAAATTCTACTAATATTTACTTAAATAAAATAAAACTTTTGCACTTCAAGGAGAGTTTTTTTAATATGGCTATTATGATTAGTAATGTTTTAACTTGTTAAAAAAAAAATTGCGACATTTTAAAGTTATGTTGAATATCATTGCAACAAACATGAATTTTGTGATTCCATAAAAAATTAAAAATCTAAGTTAATTTTACAAATATGCTTGAATTTGAACAAAGTTATGTAAAATTGATTTGATTTTAATTAATGTTTGAAAGTTTCAAGGGCGGAAATAAAAAATAAAAAAAAGTATAGAAATTATAGATTTTTTTCGAAAAAAAATAAAAAAAATCTTAGGAGGCTATGTTTTGGTATTTGGGCATAACTTTTAATTCCAAACAACTTTTCTCTATAACATTTTGTTGAATTTTCTAAAATAAGGGTACTTCACAGTACCAGCTTTGATATTGTTTGAGCTACCCTATATGCTGTTTGACTTGCAACCATTCTAAGTGCACCTAATATGATTATCAGACATGCACCAACTTTTGGCCTTGTTTGTATTTGGGTTGTGCTATTACTAAAAAAAATCCCCATATGTTGCACACTTAAAAAATCACACTGTATAAGTTTTTGGACATTCATTACAAGTAAGTTGATATACTCCTGACTTTGACATTTTATCTGATTTGCTTTTATTGTTTTTGACATGTTTAGCAAGTGAATTTGATGTTTTGAAGGCAATATTAATGTCTAATTTATTTAAATAAGAACTGAGTTTTTTGCTTGTTGGACCGAAGTATGTTAATGACTTGAAGTTTTTATTAGGATCTAGGATTGTTGGGTATATCATATTGATACACTTTTTAAATTGTTTTTTGCTTAGGAGACTATCAATGATGTTCGGGTTGTATTCATTATTGAGGGCAATTTGTTTAATAATATTGAGTTCTTTGGTGAAATCCTTTTCATTCAAGGGGATAGAAATTAGTCTATGGATCATACTATGGAAAGCTGCTAATTTATGTTGAATCGGGTGGCATGAAGAATTGTGAATAGTGGTGTCAGTGTGAGATGGTTTATGATAAATTGAGAAAGTATAACTTCCTTTTTCTTTTTTAATGGTAAGATCGAGAAAATTATTGGAATCGTTAAGTTCTTCTTCGATAGTGAATTTAATATTAGGATGTAAATTATTCATAAAGTTTAAAAAGGAAGAGAGTTGACGATCGTTTCCAACAAAGCAAGTTATATGTCATCAACGTATTTAGATACGTTTTAACACTGTGCCTTGTCGCCTCTATTGAATATAGAAATACTAGAGATGTAACCAGCACACGGCCGCCCACCTCGAAAGGCTCAGCTTCATTGAACTGCTGGTCGTTGGTAGCGTTCTTAACATCTTGATAGGATGGAACGTCACTCAGATGCCCTGAAGTGGATTTTTGAGATACTTTGTTGTAGATGTTACCATGCACGTTAATCTATCCTCCTGAACATGCTGCCTCTATCGGAAGCTCATAAAAGCTGAGACACATCTCTAGAACTCAGGGAATTCGGATCTTCTCAGACGCTGCCAAATAATCAAATTCGAATGACTTCTATGTTCAATATTCGTTTTCCAGCATTATTTCCGTAGGTACTACGTTGTACAAATATTGTTGGCTTTTCTCTTCCGATTTATCCAGAACTGAATTTATTTCTTCTTCTTTCTCATCGAATTTAACCAATCCTGATGTTTTATCCGTGAAGCATGTTTGTTATGGGTCACAATAACAGGTCTTTACAAAATACTTAAACAACTAAAGAACCCCCGAACATCTTCTCTCAGGGACCATGAACCCAGTGGCGTACACTGAAAAAAGAGTTTTATTTAATTGTAATAAAAATGGAGTTTATTCAACAGCATATTTGTTCCCTATATGCGAAACAAATGATTATTTGAAAATTCGTCCATATTTATTTAACCTCTTGCTGGAACTTTTACTTTGACTAAACAAATAATTATTTAATTGAAATGAACTGGTTTCTGAAGCAATGGCATGATTTATTTAATTGAAATAACTTTTTCTTTACATAACTAGCATTAGTTTTGAAATAAATTCCTTATTTATTTGGTTTGAATTAAAAGAAATATACTTAAATAAACGCAGTTTTCTAACAAATTCATGATTTATTTGGTTGAAATATTCTTTGCTTAACACAACAATCCGACTGATTAGATTTAAATTAATATTTATTAATTCTGAACATCATCCACATCCCCTAGTGTTTTTGCATGCACACAATATATTGCATCTCGAGTCTTAGCTATGGATGGCTTCCACTGTTTCTTGTTTTTCAATCTAGTTCTTGCCTTGGATGGAAGGAGACTCGACAAGAGGCATAGTTTTAGAGAGTTGAAATCTGGAAAAAAAATACTAATTATATTATAGGTACTAGCTGACCCGGCGAACTTCGTAGCGCCTCTGAATTATTAAATACCTATTAAATGTTGTGTTAACGTATCTATTAGCTGAATTAAATTCAGTTTTTTTTCCGATGGTGAATTTGGCTTTGGTTGAAGAATATTAATGTTTACTCTCTAGATCAGAAGTCACCTAAAATTAAAATTTAACATCATCCCTTTCAAGGCAGCTTGTGGGCATTTTTCTTGTGAAGTGTACCACCAAATAAATAAACTCAGGCACAGGAATGTTCAAAGAATGTAAAGAAAACAAAAAAAAATCTACAGCGCAGCCCTGTATCACTCTATCTGCACTGCACTACTCCATCTGTTCTACTCTATCTGCACTATTCTATCTGATCTACTATTTCTGCATCACTCTATCTGATCAGAATAGTGGAATAGTTCTGTTCTAAATATCTCCAGTTCCTGAGCAGCATGGTTCTACTGCATCTGCAATGAAATTACCGCGCATCGGTGAGCTTCGTTCTAGGTATCATATATGGCGCCGTATACAAAATGGTTGTGGCGGACTCATAACCTGGCTCTCTGCCACTCGACACCAGTCGGACGGAGCACTCCGAACAGTCGGCACGGAACACGGCTGTCAAGGGATGCCTGAGAGGAGAAACGGAACTTAGCCACAGAACGTCAATGGTCAAGCGTCAAGAAATGACAGGGAGACCAGGGTTGCGTTCAAGGACGGCAATGCTAATGCCAAAACCTACTTTCCCCCCTCCACCTGTAATGCCGAACCACGTAGGTTGGAGCCGAAATCGAACGCAAAATGCCAATTTTGGCTTGGCTGTGGTCATTCCTGAACGCAGCCCAGTTCGCGCTCTTTCGGAATGAACGAACCAACAACAAAATAAAATACACAATTAAAACATTGTCATTCTATTTATTTTTGGACATTTTTACTGTGAAGAACAATTAAAAATAAAGTGCTTTCCTCAAATTGTTTTTGTGCAAAGTGTGTGACAATAAAATCCACATGGTTTGCAATGAAAATGTGACGGTAAACTTGGTATCGGTTATAAGAGATGGCGCCGTATGCGGGCTTAGTGAGTTTTTTTCATAAATAAGTAAAATAGATAAAAAAAAATTTGTTTTTTTTTTTTTTTTGGATTTTTTCGATTTATTATGTTAGGATGGACCACGGATGGACAAAGACAAATCGAGTAAGGCAAAAATCATAAAAATCAGTCCAGCCGTTCTCGAGTTATAAGCGCTTCCACACCAACACAAGTGTGTTTTATATATATAGATTACATTACCTATTCAATTGCTGATTATTCTACGATTTATCCACTAAATTTTTATATGAAATAAAAAGTTTAGTATATAAATTCAGTTTAGCCTGGTTTATAAAAAGAGAAGGAGATTCAAGGTGTTAAATTTGGAATACTTTTTTATCTTATAAAGAAAAAACTCTGTATTATGTTTCCATACCTGTTGTTATGTTTCAAGAATGTAGCGATGGAGCTGTCTGTTGAGTTGAAACAACCATGTTTTAAACAAAATACTTTGTCAAATAATTTGTCAAATTGTTCTTGCAGAGGCAAATTAGCAGATTTGTGAATTTGTTCAAAATCATAGGATATCTGGAAAAAAGAAATGTTCATTTAATATATACATACTAGACTTTCACTATAAAATTAATAGGTAGGTACAAACTTACCAGTTCATATGCTAGCTGCGTTTTTAGTACAAGCCAGCCATCCAAGTATTTTTCTGTTTTCGTATTTGTTATCAATTTCTCCACAGAAAACGATTGCCTCCAATGATCTAAAACCTTCGCTGGTGGTAAATCTTTACAAGTGAAACGTGGAACGTAGGTGTGTGGTGTGACTGGTGGTATAAGTAGTACGATGAAAATGAAAAGCGATCCACACCTGCAGCAAGGCGTCTCGGCGAATCAAAAGCAAATCCGCATTGCAAATACAAAACTAGTTATTCTAAATAAATATTTATTTTAAAGCAATAATTCTTGAAAAAAAACTTGCAATCAACTGCACTTTGTTTGATTCAAAAAAGGCATAGGTGAAGCAAATAATAATTATTGAAAAAAGAGCAAGTGACTCATTTTTTTGCGAAAACCGTAGAATATTGCAACCAAATGATATTTATTCAATGAAAACATCATTTATTTGGTTCAAAGTACCAGAATCATGGATACGAGATCTATTTCACGTGACAGTTTATTTGTTTGAATCAAACAAATAAAAATCAAATAAATTTGATAAATTATGCAAATACTTCAGTTTTTTCCAATTTAATAAAGTTTGTTAAACATAAATATATTTCCTTTAGTTCAAATCAAGGAAAATCAAATAAATATTTATTAGATATACAGGGTGTCCCACTAAGGTCGACGAGGTACGTTATTATGGAAACCATAGACCTTACGGCATCGGGATTTTTTTCTTCATCACTAAATCGGCCAAGAGAAATTGATGGAAATTATTTTCTAAGATGGCCGCTAGGGGGCGCAATCACGATGATATAACTAAAAATTCAAATTTTCTCGAAAAATCGCTATATCAAGGTACTTTTTTAACAACAGAAATCAAAAGTTCATTAATTTTTGCGCCAGTTTGCTTATTAGCCTTTTTTCGTATCTTCACTAATAAGGGTGGGGGAAGCTGGGGAAAAAATAGTTTTAAAAATTGCTGTTTCGTCCATACCCCTCATCCAAACTCATTCAATTCGGGCTTATTCGAAAGAGAATTTCATTGTTATTAAGAGCACCACTTCGTTCGGGGTCGATAGTTCCCACCGCGTCTTCTAGAGGGCGCTATTTAACCAAGATCCAGTTTTTTTTTCATTTTCTGGAAAAATCCAAATGACATGATATATTTTTTTATACCTCTTCTTAAAAAGCAAAAAATTATCTACATTTTGGCGCAAACCGCAATCCGATATCTGCATTCGTTTTCAAGTTATTTGCAAATAACTATTTTAATCGAATATCTCCCTCCTGTCATTTTAAACCAATCAAAAAATCTCATTTTGTGGTCAAAAATTATTTTCAAGTGGAAAAATTCCATGACATGACATGAAAACAAATTAAAATACTCATAAATGTTAATAAATCAATAAAAATTTATTGTTTTGCTCAGTAAGGAAACATTCTTGACAAAAACCACTCGTGCTTCTAATTTTTCCTGACGCAAAATCTAAAAAACTCGTTTGCAAGTAATTTGTTTACCAAAATACTGGCGTGAATTTTTTTCATCTATGAGTGTGTGGAAGGTAGCACTTTACAGCACACGTGCGGTAAAGTACTTGAAATACAAAAATATTGACACTCGAAGCTGAAATTTTGTACCAACACATGCCGAAAGTGCCTTTACCGCTCTTGACGCCATGACAACTGCTGTCGCGTGCGGTAAAGTATCACTTTCCGCACTTGTTACGTAAATACCTATTATAACGCTCGTACCTGTTAAAGTTATTCACCTAACAAATGAGGAAAGTGATACTTTACCGTACGCAACGGCAGTTGACCGAACGACGCGAAGCGGAGTTCGGTCATGCCGTTAAGGGCTTTACCGCACGCGACAGCAGTTGTCATGGCGTCATGAGCGGTAAAGGCACTTTCGGCATGTGTTGGTACAAAATTTCACCTTCGAGTGTCAATATTTTTGTATTTCAAGTACTTTACCGCACTCTTGCCCGCACTGCTGACTGTTTTTTTCTCTCGCTTGGCTGCACTCGACTCGAGCTGACTGTATATATATAAATCCTCCATTTAGTCAAGACTAATTTACAGTTATACAGTTACAGTTATCAATTAAAATTCTACTAAAGCTAATTTATAATTTAATTAAAAAACAATTTTCATATAATAATTTAAAATCTACAGTCAATAACACAATGATAAAAAATTATAAAAAAAAAATCCGACCGATCCGAAAATGTATCCGACCGAATGAGCGTTAACAATTCGTTTTGTTTTGCTAAACGCGCCTAAATTTTTCACTTCAATAATGATGTTGGTTATAGGCAAATCTTGAAGGGTACAAGAAGCGACAATTTTGCTGCCCTCCTAAAAGTGGCGCCCGGGGCGGTCCGCCCCCTCCGCCACCCCCCTCGCTACGCCACTGCATGAACCCTCCTGAAATGAAACTTACTGTTAACTACCTTGGTTTGAATTCTAAATATAACTTACCTTGCTCAATGCTTCATTAAATAAAACAGTTATATCTCCACCATCAGACATTTTAACTATCTATCTGAAAATAAGGACTTTAAATTATCAAAAATATGAGGCCGTTCCGCTACTTTCAAGTCAAGTAAAAATCTGGACTTAATTGCTGATGTAATTGGGGTTGTAGCAAATTTTGTAATATTTTTCCAATTAATGGACAGTCTACTATACAAACGTGTTTAAACATCATTTAAAAAAAAAAAAAAAAAAAAAAAAAAAAAAAAAAAAAAAAAAAAAAAAAATAAAAAAAAAAAAATTTAAAATTTATTTTTTCAACATTTCAACAACCATTTTTATTAATTTGCATCATTGCATCATGTTTGAAATGAAACATTTTTCTTTCAATTATCAGGGGTAAAAATGAATTCCTATTCAACCGGAAAATTGAAATTGGTATTCAAACTCAATTTAATAGCATATTTCACATGTATGTTGAAACTTGCTACAAGCGCTTTTGATTATTTTTCTTGTTTTTTGTTTTTATTACAATCCATAGATATAGAGTTCCAAATTCTTCATTGTAGTTGGGAGCCAATTGATAGCAAAGCAATAGGAATAATAAATAGTTATTCTATTAAATACAATACAATATGACAAGAATAATAGGTACCTATGTAAGAGCAATAAGCTTCAATATCTATCGTATACTTATATATCATAGTTTCAATATATTGTTTGCAATCGAATTTTGAACAATGGACTTTATTTCTTCGCTTACATTCAATTATCATACATTTGGATAATCTATTACCCCAGGAAGGAAAACAAACTCTCTCTGCTCTTCTGCGCCCTTAAATCCCTGGATGTTATAGTCGGGGAGCTGGCGTCGAAAATATGCAAGAGTTTTCGCAAGGCTCATATTTTCAGAATGAGTAGCATTTTAGTACTACAAAGCTAGGCTACAGTCAGCAGTTCCAGTTCCGGGACACCTGGCGCTGAGATGCGCGCAAAGGTGTATTTTTATTCAACACCTCGCAACAGTTTTCGCAAAGCTGAAAATTTGCAAAGAGCATGCGAATATAATGTAGAACCATAATTTAACAGTCAGACAAAGAAATACGGGGACACGTAGAGTCAGCGCGACTTTGAAGTGGTCAAAAAAATGACGTCACCGAAAGTGTTTTCGCATGGCTGAAATTTGGCAAGGTAATAGTAAAAACAATATATTTATTGAAAAGAACAGTCAGACACTTCTATGTCGGGACCCCGCCAGTCAGCAGTCGATTAGAGTGATATAGGTGGTAGCGCGCGTCAATAGAGCGCGCTACCACCTATACTCTTAATCGACTGCTGACCTGAGGGAGTCCCGACATAGAAGTGTCTGACTGTTTTTTTCAATAGATCTATTGAAAAAAACAGTCAGACACTTCTATGTCGGGACTCCCTCAGTCAGCAGTCGATTAAAGTGATATAGGTGGTAGCGCGCGTCAATAGGCATATATCCATGTCGAATAATAATTTCACCAAAAGTGTTTTCGCATAGCTGAAATTTTGCAAGGTAATAGTAAAAACAATATATTTATTGAAAAAAACAGTCAGACACTTCTATGTCGGGACTCCCTCAGTCAGCAGTCGATTAAAGTAATATAGGTGGTAGCGCGCGTCAATAGGCATATATCCATGTCGAATAATAATTTCACCAAAAGTGTTTTCGCATAGCTGAAATTTGGCAAGGTAATAGTAAAAACAATATATTTATTGAAAAAAACAGTCAGACACTTCTATGTCGGGACTCCCTCAGTCAGCAGTCGATTAAAATGAATAGAATAGAATAGAATTTTACTCTATATATAATATCCATTTCGATGAATAATTTTATTTTTATAATTTAAATTATTTGGAATCGGAAACGGTAAAATAAAATTGTACATGCAGTTAAAAAGTTTGCGGTTAGAAAAAAGCCCGATTCGTATAAATATTACTTGACCATTTAATCAGCAGTACTGTGATAGTATACCTATAGTAAGTTTCATTAAATACTTATAATCGTCGCCGATTTTATAAAATACAAAAAAAAAAATTCTAATCACATCTGCCGCTTCCCATCCCCTAATCTCGACCTAACAGTACCATAATGAAGTTTCCGAATTCGAATGCATATACGCCTTATTCAAGTATACGCGCTTACGCTTGCAACTTACAGGTTTACACTTACTCATTAAGAGAAAAAAAATGTATTTTACCGTTTCCGATTCCAAATAATTTAAATTATAGAAATAAAATTATTCATCGAAATGGATATATATAGAGTAAAAGTCTATTGACGCGCGCTACCACCTATATCACTTTAATCGACTGCTGACTGAGGGAGTCCCGACATTGAAGTGTCTGACTGTTTTTTTCAATAAATATATTGTTTTTACTATTACCTTGCCAAATTTCAGCTATGCGAAAACACTTTTGGTGAAATTATTATTCGACATGGATATATGCCTATTGACGCGCGCTACCACCTATATCACTCTAATCGACTGCTGACTGGCGGGGTCCCGACATAGAAGTGTCTGACTGTTTTTTTCAATAAATATATCGTTTTTACTATTACCTTGCCAAATTTCAGCTATGCGAAAACACTTTTGGTGAAATTATTATTCGACATGGTTATATGCCTATTGACGCGCGCTACCACCTATATCACTTTAATCGACTGCTGATTGGCGGGGTGCCGACATAGAAGTGTCTGACTGTTTTTTTCAATAAATATATTGTTTTTACTATAACCTTGCCAAATTTCAGCCATGCGAAAACACTTTCGGTGACGTCATTTTTTTGACCACTTCAAAGTCGCGCTGACTCTACGTGTCCCCGTATTTCTTTGTCTGACTGTTAAATTATGGTTCTACATTATATTCGCATGCTCTTTGCAAATTTTCAGCTTTGCGAAAACTGTTGCGAGGTGTTGATTAAAAATACACCTTTGCGCGCATCTCAGCGCCAGGTGTCCCGGAACTGGAACTGCTGACTGTAGCCTAGCTTTGTAGCACTAAAATACTACTCATTCTGAAAATATGAGCCTTGCGAAAACTCTTGCATATTTTCGACGCCAGCTCCTGGACTATTAGAGGTTGAAGCCCGAATGCAAAGCAATCATTTATAATATATCTGTGTCTTTCTCAAACAATATTTATCCCATAGTGAGAAGTAATTATTTAAGCGTTATGTGATAATATTCACAAACTTAGAAGAAAGCTTGAAACTCCAACAGTTTTTATTTATTTCGGTGGAAAAATTCCAATAGCATAAGAAAAGTCACATTTTATAATGATTGGTCAATATGGAAAGTTTTTTAAAAGTTTCAGATTTACCTAGCTGATACGTAAATTATTAAGGAAAAATTGTTCTTCAAAATAAATTAAAAACTTCCTGTGGGCAAACAATCTCTCAACCATTAGAAAAAAATTCAAATGTATATAATACATAAATATACAGCGATCGACTCAAGGTAACAAGGATAAAAACTATAGTAAATTCACCCAGAATTAGTAATTGGGTGTTAACACCAAAAATATGTATCGCGTTTATCTCACAAACGTTACGTTCCATGTCAGTTTGTGATCAACCCTTCCTCACAGAAAATCAAACGATCTATTATTTTGATAGGGATCTGCATCGTTCTTTTATTCGCTAGATATTAAATTACATTGTCGAAAATTCCAGTCATCGGGTATACAGTTAGTAGTTGGGGCTGCCTATGCTATTTCCATCCGTTAGGAGACGAGAGTTCGTATTTAAGGATCCTCATGCGGTGTTGCCAGATCGTGTGTAAGGGTTTATCAAGTACAAAAGACAGGTTTGAGGAGAAGTTATCTCTGTTATTTCAAGCCTAAAGCGGTCAACATTAAATTTGGTATTAGGGGTTTACCGCAGGTTTCTCAAAAAAAAATAGGGTTAGAATATGTACATTGAATTAAAAGGCGTAGGAATGACACACATTTAGATATTATTGATGATTCCGTAGGAGACATGACCGATATACTTAAATATATAGAAACAATTTTTATTCAAAAGGTGACTCGTAGAAACTACAAACCTTGTGTGACACGATAATTACTTAGAAAGCATATTTATTCAACCTATTTTATACAGGGTGTATCAGGTATGAGTACCAATATTTTACCATGAGATAATGGCTCATATGAATAAAACAGAAGCAAATGCTTTTGCTTAAGTTTTTTGAGATATACATATTTAGCTTTATTGCAGCAAAAAGAGACGGAGGTAGAGTAGAGGTAGAGTAAAAGCATTTGCTACACTTTATTCATACAACTGAATATAGCCCATTTCAAGCTTCTGCCAGGATATGTAAATGTAAATAGAACTGGTAAATTTTTTTAAAAAAAAGGTCAAGGAGTTTATTTATTTTCCCCTGTTCACGTTTCGGTTTGTTCGCTTTCAAATGATGTAGATAATAATTTGCATTTTATCACTTTTATAGTAAAAATAAAAAATGTGCCGTTTGATTAAGTTGTAAATTGCACTAAACATTCAAGAGAAAAATTAAATAATACTTACCCAGCTACTTGCCAAATCTTTATTATGAAAATACTAATTTTTGTTACAAGGTTCTCAAAACACTGAAATCACCACAAAGATTTTTCACACCCACACTTTCCGTTTCACGCAATCTTTGTAAAACGGGCACAATGTTCTTTCAACAGGTGGGTGCCGTCCTATTCGGAAATCTTTCCCTGTCAATTCTGGCGGCTAAATGAGCATTTTACAACTATACTGCGTAAACAAGTATAGTACCCGCCACAGATATTCGAGATTCCTAGAAAAAACGATTTCTTTGTCGGCGATGCCCCGGGATAAAGCAAAAACTCTACAGAGAAGGGTTGAGAATCAATTTAGTCCAAGAGCATCAATTAAATTCATTTTGCGTATAGTATTGTTGTAGTGTTCTGGATTAAGTACTTAATTTTTTGCATTAAATATTTGAAACATCTTTCAAGAAAATTGAAAAATAATTTCAAACATTATTTACAACAATTTAAACCGAATAACTTCAAACC